GTTACCATATTTTTTATCCAATGGTTTACTTAGGGTAACCGTATTTTTTATCCAAAACCATATTTTTTATCTCCAGTAAGACTGAAACCCAACAGGAGATCAGCAAATAAATTAATAACAGCTAGTGACTAAATTATATGACCCCGTCTCCACGCTTTGCCTCTAGGCCTTATCAAAGCATGCAAACCGCCAATGCTCAAGGGTGTTCTTGGGAGGAGTATTTCAGCAACAGCTCCTTAGAAAAGCCATGTCTCCTTTGAGCTGAGCTTCATGGCTCCTGACAGCACGGATTCCACCACATGGTTTTCTTGGCAACAAGGCATGGTGCGTTTTCTCTTCTTCCGGGATGCTCTTTTGACCTCCCATTCAAGCCTTTAGCCTCAGGGTTTCCTCGTGGCTTCTCCATCCACGAACTGTATGAACCACATCTGACTCCACTTCATTTTCTGAGAACAGCAAGGTCCCATCCTCTAACTGTTCTTCGACAGAGTCTCTACTTCCTCTTTTGGGAAATGGCCAACAGTTAACAAGTAAAAGGTTGCTTTAAGTCACTGAAAAAGGCCTTAAAGTGACATTTAAAAACAAACAGCTAGGCAATTTCTGTTCCTCATGGACCAAATGCAACCTTTCACCAAATCCTGGTCTCAGTTGCTCTACCAATAGTCAGTCTTCCCCAATATCATGTTTAAAATTACTGATTTCAGAATCCAAATTCATGTTTGTTTAGTAAGTCTTTTTTCAATACTGAGTTTTAGTGCTCTCCACCCAATGCAATGCAAAACCCTAACAGAGTTAACACACCTTGAGGCTCCCCCTTGGACTGTTTGGAAATAGGGCAGGGGAATGAGATGAAGCCAACATCACGAGGACAGAGCAGAAAAAGAAGTTACCTTATATGTTTGTCATATCGTTAAGGATAAGTGGAGACACGACCTAAGTCAACCAATGCAGCCACTCAGTCTAGCAGTTGATTGCAAGGATGCTTTTACTCAACCTTCCTTCTCTCACACACACACACACACCATACAGACACACATATCTCAGCTAAATACCCTACCTGTGATGGAATGGTTTGGTGAAGGCCGTGCTCGGGGAGATAAGCATTTCCTTAGCCCCCAGAAAGAGTGTGGGAAGGTGAAGAGGATGAGGCTGGCACCACCCTAAGGAATTCGCGGTGTTTTGGCTTGCTGGCTTGGGAAGTTTAGATTCAGTCTGGCAAGATTCTGTCTTGAAGGTGAAAACTAATAAATGCAATAGAACTAGACCTGTACGGTCTCGTGGAGTTCTTTGGGCTGAACCTGACGCTACCAGAGTGCTCTCCTAAATAACAGAAGCCCAACAAATCCAAGAGAATTTGTAACTCCATGGGTGGGGTGGTGCCCCCTTGATTCTCTGGGCTTCCTGAAAACAATACCAATCTTTTGTTCTGGAAATACAAACAGACGCTATCTGGCTGGTTGCACTGGTTTCTCTAGAAGGCTGTTTGGGGTAGTAAAAGCCAGCAGGAGCCGGAACTGTTTTTGGGGAAGCTAGGCGAGAGGCAAGCTCCTCCCTGGTCTCTTTCATGGGATGAATGGCTCCTTTAGGGGCCAAGAGGAAGAAAGTTCACGTTGCACAAAAAGGGTCCTTGGTGTCCTGTGAGAATCTCAGGCTCTCACACACTAAGCCAAGGTTCTTGGGGAATGACTCACAATTCCCACACACTGAAACAAATGAGAAAAAAGGAGGACAATCTCCACCCAAGACTATCCACAAAAACCAGAACACCTCAGCTCTAGTGGCCTTCAAGCTCTGCCATTTTGTGCAGACCTCAAAAGCCTTGTACTGAATTCAGGATCTTATATTATTTAAAGTAAGGTCCTTAGGAAGGAAGGAAGGAAGGAAGGAAGGAAGGAAGGAAGGAAGGAAGGAAGGAAGGAAGGAAGGAAGGAAGGAAGGAAGGAAGGAAGGAAGATTTTATTTGTTGTTGAAGGCCAAAATATCAAGCATATTACAATAGGAGGAAAACTGTCAGCTTGAAAACAGTCAGATGCTACCCAAGACCCCAAGGGTGGCTCCAGAGACAAGAGATGAGGGCCATGGTCTTGGTCCCAGAAGCAGACTCTCTGTGAATCTGCTCAATCGACAAATACATTTTGATCAACTAGCCCAGAATCTTGGCAAAGAATTTCCACTTTTATTGTGCTCCAAAGTAAACTCTAATCAACATATGACTTCTACAGAGATTATTCACACTGTTGTAATTGATCATGCTGCTGCTATTTGCATTTATACCTTGCCTTTTTTTGAGAAATCAAGATGTCTTACATGGGAGTCTCCCCTAATGTTGTTCCCACACTAAAGTTGAGGGAGGTTGACCTGAGAAGAAGGAAGGGACCCAAAGCTCCCCAGGGACTTTTCATGTTAGGGAGTGGGCCTGAACCTGGATCTTCCCGGTCCAATTCCAACAAATTTATGCCCAGGGCGTAGAGCTGCTCCCATATCTTTCTTAATTCTTAGACTGATAGTAAAACTGGTGCACTTTCTATCATTCAGAAGTGAACATGCTCCAAAATGTGGGTGAAGATCTATCACAGAGGCACGGTCGTTTTTACATTTTACAACTCCAAGCAACCACGTCTTTCAATGTAGGCTTTTCGAATAAGGAGTGAAA